GGTAGAGGTAGCTTTCTACTCCTTGGTCATTCCTTTCTCTGCAATAAATTCTTCAGCAGTGCTGAGTTACATATATGCAGAAGGCCAAGCACACCATGACTTTTAATGCTTCCTTGCCTTCCCACCTGAGTTTTCCTTTGTTTGCAAAGTTCACATTTGCTTTATCTTTCTTCATCTGGCTACTTCCTAATCATTTTTGTGCTTTCAGCAGTGATGCTTCCAGGAGGCTTTCCTGGCACCCCTGTGCTATCATGATACCCAGTGCATGCTTTCATCCCAGTGCGTTGGGTTGCTTTTGCATTGGGGTGTGAAATAGGCATTTAATAAGTGTTTGAAATGAAATGGAATGGAATGCTCTTATTTGAGGCAGATATTAATCTAATTTAAGAAATTCTTTCCTGGCCAGTATTGGAACTGGTATAATCATAAGATTTCTTAGAATGAGAAGGTAAACATTTAAGTTGTATTGTGAATTTTGTATCTATTGATTCTTATGATAATTGGAATGATAAATATTTAAGTAGTTAATGAAATTAGGAAACTAAATTCAGTTTTTCTTTTGCTTTAGAAAGATGCTCAAGTGCATGGGAAATAAACACCAGAGCATCTTTCTGACGTCAATAGACTCGAAAAACATTCTCCTTGGAAATGTGAAATGTAGGACTTGTCTACATTAGCACCACCTATATATAACCTAAGAGTACCTTCCTTCAAGTGGTTTTCTGATATAACTTACCAAGAGACTCTCTTAGAATCCTAGAATAGTGAGCCTGCCATTATAGATGCGAATGCATCTAGGCCAGCTGCTGCAATTTTATGGTTGATGACCATCAGGCAAAGAGAAGTGAAGTGATCCCCCCCCCCAAAAAAAACAAAATTGCATATTAGTGACAGTCACTTCAGAATTCAGATGTTATTTTTGGTCTGGAAATGTGTATGAATGAAATTCACAATGTTAAATAGACACTGTCTGCTAGAGTACCCTGTGAAAGAAGAAATGTAGTCCCATTTACTGGGTATAATGGACTGGAAAGTTTGGCCTTAGAGCAGATCCTTAAAGTCAACCATTTTGGATTCTATTGAACCCAGAAGAAAATTGCTCAGTAGGTGATGATCATTATTAAAGTAGGTTTGGGCTACGTATGGCCCCTAATTGGTGAGGATTACTTCCTTAGTGATATAAAGTAGTGCTAGGATTTAAAAAAATATTTTCTTTTTGTTATCCTCTAACTTGGAAGAAAAATTACAAAAAAATTAAAGATGTTAAACAAGAAGAATGTGTTAATTTCAAAATTATGTCCTCAAAAGATAGTAGCTTTTTCCTAATCACATAAATACACAACTGTGGGGACACTTTAAAATTTTTTGCTAAGTGATCTAATTATTTAATTGAATTATTTTCAGGATGAAAATATGATCAACTTCATCAAAGGTGGACTCAAAATTAGAACAAGTTACCAAATATATAAGTAAGTTAAAAAGATGGTTTTAAAATGATTTTGTGTTGTATACTACTTTGTTCTTCAAAATTCTCATAAACTAAGTATGACTACGTTTTTAAATTTGGCATTGGTAAAAATGTGCTTGATTTTTGGCTCAGTATGTATTCAGTGTTATAGGAAAACAGAATTTAAGCTTAGATACAATTTTTAGAGCAAAATAGCTGAAAATAAAACTGTCGACATAGTTTCTAATTAGATAATCTTAGTTTCTCTCTCCTAAGAACAATTTATAGATTCAAAATGACAGACATGTCTTTGGTCCAGACTACAGAACAGCATTGCCCAATGGAACTTTCTGTGGTGGATGGAAATGTTCAATTAAGGTGTATTATATACTGTTTTTTTTTTTGGTCTTTTGTCTTTTTCCGTGTCCAGCAACGGATCGCAACCCTCAGTGTTGCCCCCGTACCGGACCGGGGACCGGCAACGGGATTGCAACCCTCGGTGTCGCTCCCGCGCCTCGCTCAGCCAGTGAGCGGGAACCGGTCTGCATGTGGGATCCGAACCCTCGGGCGGGAGCGCCGCCACGCTTCCCAAGCGGCGCACTTATCCAGTGCGCCACTGGGCCGGCCCGTATTATATACTGTTTTTAATGTTACTGATTTTTATCTCATTCTGACACTTACTTAGTGTTAAAATCTCCCTCTTTGAATCTGGAGTCATTCATTTCTCCCTTTAGTTCTATCAGGGTTTGCCTCATATTTAGGAGCTGTGTTATTAGGGTTATATAATTGTTCTATCTTCCTATTGAATTAACCTTTTTATCATTACGAAGTGTCCCTGTTTAACTCTGGTAATATTCCTTATCTTGAAATCTATTTTGTCTGGTATTAATATAGCTACTCATACTTTTTTGAAAGTAGTCTTTGCATAGTATATATTCTTTTACTTTAAACCTATCTTTGTTTTCATATTTAAATTGCATTTCTTGTAGATGAACATAGTTAATATGTTTTCACTTGCGACTACCATTGTGCTTTTTCTCTTTGCCTAATCTGTTTCCCCCTCTCTTTTCCTGCCTTCTTTTGCTTTAATAAAATTAAAACAAACAAAAACTCCAGTGTAATCCTCTATTGTCTTCTTGGCTGTATCTCTCTTTAATTTTTTTTTTTAGTGGTTGCTCTAGCAATAATAATATTCTTCTTAACTTATCACTGTCAATTTAGAATTAATATTGTACCATTGAACATAAAATGTAAGAGCCTTGTAAACGTATAGTTTTATTTACTACCTTTCTTTATACTATTAGTACACATATGTATGTTATAAACTCCACAATACAGTGTCAAATTTCTGCTTTAAACGTATATTATTGTTTTCTCTGTTTACCCATATATTTACCATTTTCGGTATTCTTCATTTATTCCTGCTTACTCTCAGACTAAGAACTTTCTTTAGCATTTCTCGTAGTGTGTGTCTGCTTTCAACAAAGTGTGTTTTTATTTATCTGAAAAATGTCTTTACTTTTGCCCTTACTTTCAAGGATATTTTTGCTAAATATTGTATTCTGAGTTGACAGGTTTTTTTCTTCTTTCAGCTCTTTAAAACTGCCATTCCATTTTTTTAAGGCCTCCATCGTTCATGATCAGCAGTCAGTTGTCATTTGTATTATTGTTTCCCTATATCTAATGTGTCATTTCTTCTGGTTTCTTTGAAGACTATTTTCTATCTTTGAGACTCAGCAGTTTAACTATGATATGCCTAGGTGTGGTTTTGAGAAATTTGTGGTCATTCTTTGTTCAAAATATTTATTTTCTGCCTCATTCTCACTTTCTCCTCTCCTTCTGAGACTCCAGTTACACAGGTTAGTCTGTCTAATTTTGTTCAATAGGTCATGGAGGTACTGTTCATTAATTTCTTGAATATTTTTCAGATTGGGTATTATCTCAATGTCTGGGTCATCTTGGAGTTGTTTTCTGTTGACTGCTTTTTCTCTTGCCTATATGTCATGTTTTTATGTTTATTCTCATGTCTCATAATTTTTTTTTTACTGCTTACTAGATATTGATACATGCTAGAGGCTCAGATTCTGTTACCCTTTCTCTGAAGAGTGCTGATTTTTGTTCTAGGAAGCATTTAATTTGACTAGACTTAGACTCCAAACTTTTACTCCCCAGTAGGAAGGAGCTTCTGAAATCTCTGCTCCATTATTTCTGCTATCTTGCTCTTGCTTTTCCTTGCAGTCTCCCCAGTGATCACATAGTTCATGGACCAGCCAAGAATTTGAGTAGAATTTTAGCAGTTTTTGATGTTCCCCTCCTATATTCTTATCCCATATATGGAAATTTTCCCGTGACCTTACAGCTACGATGCAAGTCTTGAACTCTATACTGTGATTTTTTTTTTCTTTTTTTTCCTTTTTTTGTCTTTTTTTCGTGACCGGCAACGGATCGCAGCCCTCAGTGTCGCGCCCGTACCGGACTGGGACCGGCAACGGGATCGCAACCCTCGGTGTTGCGCCCGTACCTCGCTCAGCCAGTGAGCGGCCGGTCTATATGTGGGATCCGAACCCTCGGCGGGAGCGCCGCTGCGCTCCCAAGCGGCGCACTGTAGCAGTGCGCCACCGGGCCGGCCCTATACTGTGATGTTTTAAGCAAATAGATTGTGGCATTCAGTTTGAGTCCTAGGCATCCTGCATTGAGTGGACTGGGGAGTGCTTTTAGGTGAATAACAGTATGAATGTAAAGTTCATTCAAGAGGGGTCCCTTCTTTAAAAGTTCACCTCTTCTCCGGTTTCTGCCTACTTTTTTCCTTTACTCTCCAGTGCCTACAAATGTATTTTAAATATGTATTTTGTACATTTTCAAGAGTTTGTAATTGTTATCTGTGGGAGAGTTAATCTAACATAAGCTACCCTGCCATTATTAGATATAGAACCCAAATTTAGTATTTTAAAAGATACTTTCACCCAAAATAATTTCATAAATGTGTATTCCATTTATTTATTTATTTATTTATTTATTTATTTATTTATTTA